CTCTCACACACACACTCACACACTCTCTCACACTCTCACACACACACTCACACACTCTCTCACACTCTCACACACACACTCACACACTCTCTCACACTCTCACACACACACTCACACACTCTCTCACACTCTCACACACACACTCACACACTCTCTCACACTCTCACACACACACTCACACACTCTCTCACACTCTCACACACACACTCACACACTCTCTCACACTCTCACACACACACTCACACACTCTCTCACACTCTCACACACACACTCACACACTCTCTCACACTCTCACACACACACTCACACACTCTCTCACACTCTCACACACACACTCACACACTCTCTCACACTCTCACACACACACTCACACACTCTCTCACACTCTCACACACACACTCACACACTCTCTCACACTCTCACACACACACTCACACACTCTCTCACACTCTCACACACACACTCACACACTCTCTCACACTCTCACACACACACTCACACACTCTCTCACACTCTCACACACACACTCACACACTCTCTCACACTCTCACACACACACTCACACACTCTCTCACACTCTCACACACACACTCACACACTCTCTCACACTCTCACACACACACTCACACACTCTCTCACACTCTCACACACACACTCACACACTCTCTCACACTCTCACACACACACTCACACACTCTCTCACACTCTCACACACACACTCACACACTCTCTCACACTCTCACACACACACTCACACACTCTCTCACACTCTCACACACACACTCACACACTCTCTCACACTCTCACACACACACTCACACACTCTCTCACACTCTCACACACACACTCACACACTCTCTCACACTCTCACACACACACTCACACACTCTCTCACACTCTCACACACACACTCACACACTCTCTCACACTCTCACACACACACTCACACACTCTCTCACACTCTCACACACACACTCACACACTCTCTCACACTCTCACACACACACTCACACACTCTCTCACACTCTCACACACACACTCACACACTCTCTCACACTCTCACACACACACTCACACACTCTCTCACACTCTCACACACACACTCACACACTCTCTCACACTCTCACACACACACTCACACACTCTCTCACACTCTCACACACACACTCACACACTCTCTCACACTCTCACACACACACTCACACACTCTCTCACACTCTCACACACACACTCACACACTCTCTCACACTCTCACACACACACTCACACACTCTCTCACACTCTCACACACACACTCACACACTCTCTCACACTCTCACACACACACTCACACACTCTCTCACACTCTCACACACACACTCACACACTCTCTCACACTCTCACACACACACTCACACACTCTCTCACACTCTCACACACACACTCACACACTCTCTCACACTCTCACACACACACTCACACACTCTCTCACACTCTCACACACACACTCACACACTCTCTCACACTCTCACACACACACTCACACACTCTCACACACACACACAGAGCTATTCAGAAGCAGCGCTGCAGACTGAGAGCGACGAGTTAACCTCACACTGCGAGGCTTGGGCTTATATGATATTATATTTGGCTAAATGTAGGCTATCTAAGCCATATTAAGTTAATGAATGAATGAATTCCGCTCAACATAAGATGATAAATGATAATTCCCCTCAAACAGGATTGATTAAGTGTAGGTATAATGCAGGTTTCTATGGGAACACGTTTCCGCAAAAATCAAGAAATAAATATAAATGCGCAATTCTGACTTTTTGCTCTTAATTCATAGTTTATATCGCGCAATTCTGTTTTTTTTTTTTTTATGGAGGCCCATTTCCAGCACGGAATATAACAGAAATAAAAAGTTAATTGTGACTTTTTGTCTAAAAATTCTAGTTTATCTTGCATTTCTGAAAGAAAGAGTTGTGAGATCTTAACTCAGAATGGCGAGAGAGAAAGTCGCAGTTATCTTTTTTATTCTGTGAAAAGAAAGGAAAAAACAGAACTCAGAGTTTTGAGAAATAAAGTCTCTCTTTATATCTTTCAATTCTTAGAAGAAAAGTCTTAGTTTAAAAAAAAAAGGCTATGAGATAAAAACATGTAATTCCTTTTTATTATTATTATTATTATTATGAGGCAGAAATGGGCTTCCGTAGGTTTCTTGGCTCAGTGTAAAACCCGGAGTTCAGTGTGATCTCATAAGGCAAATGAAAAGAGTTTGACAAGGATTTGTAATAACTTCTGACTGAGGATCTGTGTATACGAGATGCTGGATATACGCTTGGCTGCTGCAAGCCCTCTCTCTCATCAGCATCATCACTGCAGCATCACATCAGCAGCACACGAGCAAGCACGAGTGTGCAGAACTATACAACACTCCTGAGTCCTGTCAAACATCAGAAGAGACGCTCCACTCTCAGAGCTCTTAACTCTACACTATCTAAACATTATTCCAATAGGCTGAATTCTGATATCAATTATACAACATCCAACGCACTTTTAGAATTAAAAAAATTGATATTACATAAAGAAAGTCGAAGTAGAGTATTCTTCTATATTTTTTCATTTTTCACATCACAACATTTCTCTATTTTAAGTATAAACGCAAAAGACTGAACTATTATCCCCAGTATTAAACAGGACTGCTGTCTCCTGTGTTTTCTCAGACTGCATATATGATCGGATGCTGCAGTGAAACCCATCCAGCATCTTAATCACTCATGTGAAGCTGCACAACTCCAGATGCATTCAGCATGAAGCGTCTGCAGCGCAGCAGAATGCAGAGGCTTGAAAGGCAACAGCGTGCCCTGCTGGAGAAATACAAGCTATTTATCTCCATCTATATCTGCCTGCCTTCCTCAGGCAGCCTCTTGCAGAGAGAAGCCACAGAAAGCTTGACGACTGAATCACAAAAGCACCCAAAACCAGTTCCTGCACACTCGTGCATCTCCTCCTGGTCAGCCGCTTTCTTCACACAGAAGAACTGCACATGCATCAGCTGATTTCCTCATGTCTTCATTGCTTTAGTGACCCACACGGCCCACATCGCCACCAGCTTCACGCTTTAGGTTTGTTTTTTTTCTTTCTAATTTTTTTTGTGTGTAAAAGAAACAGTACAAGGCATTTCTATACAGCTGAGGAGGCATTAAAACACAGTATGACATCAGTAAAGCACTTGTAATTCATACAGAACACGAAAAGAACAGAAACAAACCAAACACTGCTTTAAAGGAGGAATATACCGTTTGGACAATAATACAGTACCAGCCACATCAAATCTCATTTCAGCATTTCAAACGAAACAAACTCAAATATATACACTGAGGTATAAACACATTGGTCTTCAGAGGAGGTATTTTTCTCATGACATTTTGACCTTTAAAACCTATTGAAATTATTATTATTTTTATTATTATTCTTGATTTTTTTTTTCTTAATATATATATATATATATATATATATATATATATATATATTTATTTTTTAAAAGCAAGTGATGCAAACATTAGAAATAAGCCCCATGCAGTGCATCATTCTAAGTGGAGTTAAAAAACAAAACCGAGTCAAACTCAGGCACCAAATGAAACGATAACGCTCTCCTCTACCGTCCAATCAGCAGCACACAGCGTCCCAGTGAAATGCATCATGGGAAGCTCGTCAGCTGCCCTTAAACCACCCAGAATTCTCCAAGCGTATTTTTCACAGTGTCCGTATAATAATAGCATAGCGGTGTAATTAATCTCTAATAACAGCATGGAGAGAGTGATGCGTTTGCATAAATGAGTGAAAGACCCGTGTGTTTCATGCCACTGCTTTAAAAATCACCTTCAGCTAATTTATGCAAATACTCTGCACTAGTAACATTCACACCTGTCACGACGTGCTTTCATTAATTAGTCCGTCTGACGTGTTCGTGCATTACAGTGCAGAGCTGCATAAGCTGCCGCTGGAGAATTATGAATGAAGAGCCGGCGCTGGAGGAGTCTGGGTCATGTAAGGGCTTTCTGCTGGAAATATGGATTGAAGTCTCCTCGAGGAGCATCGTGTGCTTTACTGAGAACGCATCCGCTCGAGCTGCTGATCCGAGACGGAAAGCCATCCTCATGTCGTTCCAAACCGTGCCGATTCCTGCGGTTCACCATAGAATGCAAAAAGAGACGTTTTGATGAATGTTCTAGCTGCTCTTTTCCGTGCAGCTGCAGTGAATGCTGAAACTGGATCAATTGAATCAGATCCGTGAACGAATCAAAGACGATTCAGCTTCACAAAATCACAAGCTAGCGCTTCTGTTGATGTCCAGTGCTGCAAAACATCCAGTCTCGCAGGCTAGCTCTTTCTGAAGCTTGAAAGATTCAATCCTGATCAGTGTTATGTTAGTGTCATATCATGTTTTCAATTTTATTTTTTCTCATTTTAATTTTAGTTAAGGTTTTACTCATTTAAGTTGTGCTTTTCCATTATTAGTTTTTGATGTCTTTCATTTTATCAAGTTAAAGTCAATGAAAGTGAGGAGTATTACTTTGGAAACTAGCTGAAAATAAAGTTTAAGTTTTTATATTTTACGTCAGGTAACATTTATTTTTCAGTTCTAGTGAACTAGTGATACGGATTTATTTTAGCTGCGTGTAAAAGAGCGACCGATCTCATTCCCCAAACTCATCTCACAGGTTTGGAACGGCGTGAGAATGAATAAAAGATCATTTTCATTCCTGAAGAAGCTACATCCGCTCGATCCGCAGCCCTCCTCTGACAGCACTGAACGCTGCTCGTTTTGGGTTTAATTGACTCGTTCTCCTTCCAGAACTGTACACGGCACACAGCCAGCAGCCGGACTAACATTATACACATCTACACATTATCTACACACACTACGTCCCACGCACGCATTAAAAAGTACTTCATTCAGGAACTGTGCATTTGTACGTATCAATAATCAATCATTAGCTTCCCTCAAAGGAACTGGCTTCACAATACACGGCCTGATCAATCAGCGTTAGAGGATACGAGCAGCATCTGTATGGATGTGCTGTAACCTGCAGAAGAGCCACCAACACGACAGCACTGACCTTCACTGAGAGGAATGCTGCAGATTCAGTACAAGTCAGACTAAACGGACAGCATTTGTGGCTGAATGTTGGTTTTGACAAAAAAAAGAGTTTTCTGGGCTCCAGTGAGGTACTCTTTTGGACGGCAAGATTTTTAATGTTTCTTTCTAAATCTTTCTCTGTGAATCTCTGTTAAACTGTAATGTATTTCTGTGATGCGCAGCTGTATTTTCAGCATCATTACTCCAGTCTTCAGTGTCACATGATCTTCAGAAATCAGTATAATATGCTGATCTGCTGCTCGAGAAACATTTCTGATTATTATCAATGTTGAACACAGTCGTGCTGCACAATATTTTTGTGGAAACTGTGATACATTTTATTTTTCAGGATTCACAGATGAACAGAAAGTTCAGAAGAACAGCATTTATCTGAAATAGAAATCCTTCGTAACATTATAAATGCCTTTATCACCAATTTTGATTAATTTAATGCATCTTTCCTAACTAAAAAGTATTAATTTCTATAATATTTCATGATTTCATAATAAATATATAATGATTTAAATATACTGACTCCAGGCTTTTGAATGGTAGAGGGTATAATGTTACAAAAGTTTTTGATTTCAGATAAATGCTGATCTTTGGATCTTTCTATTCATCAAATAATCCTGAAAAAACTTTACTTTAACTGTGTTCAACATTGATAATAATCAGAAATGTTTCTCGAGCAGCAGATCAGCATATTATACTGATTTCTGAAGATCATGTGACACTGAAGACTGGAGGAATGATGCTGAAAATACAGCTGCGCATCACAGAAATACATTACAGTTTAACAGATAGAAAACAGATATTTTAAATAGCAGAAATATTTCACAATATTACTGCTTTTGCTGTATTTTGGATTTGAAAATGCAAGCTTGGTGAGCAGAAGAGAATGATTTAAAAAGCATTAAAAATCTTGACTGGTAGTGCAAGCGTTTTTACAAAATGTTTAAATCTTTTAAATCCTCCAAAAACTGCTCCAATTTCAGTGTGATTCGTAAGCATGATTTTTGTTGTTTTCCAAATGTTTCATTTATTTATCTGTTTATATTTAGTTTGTTTTGTGCTAATCAACATTAAAACGCAAATGCTGTGGCCTGAGCTTGACCTGCGTTCATCTCGGAATATTCCTTCCACATTCAGGGCCTCTAATCTGAGCATAAAGACGACTGAAAAAGCCTCAAACGTACAGATGCACATAAATCAGAATCTCAAGTTGCATGCTTAAATAAGCACCAGAAACTGACACCTTGAGAAAATCACGCCGCCTCGTTTCGCTCTTCATTCGCGAGCGGCTATCGGATCCCATCGGCTCTGATAAAGCACTGCGCGTCACAACCGCTGCTACATGTCTGTACTGGACACACACCAGCTCCACACTGGTCCCAGAAGACTCGCCCGAAACACTTTCAAAGCAGTCCTTCGTGTTTTGCACATTCTATTAGAAAAAGTCGCCACAAAATGTTGGAAGCGCCATGGCTTAGTAAATATCCATTTTCTATACGACTGCACCTCGATGCATGTTGAGAACGATCTAGGCGTGTGTTTGGGCAACTTTAGGTAACGCTCCCAACCTTCTGGCCGTCTGTAAGCGATCGCAGCTCCAGCTGTAGAGGTCTGATCGTTGTTTCATCCTCAGAGAACGAGAGGCAGAGAGAATGAAGGATGGCACCAGCAGATCAGCGCGCTGTGAGGGTGGGTTGGTTAGTTGGTTCAAAGCAGTGGCACTTGCTGGTAACACCTGGCTTGGAAGGCATGGTTGTTATCGTAGTCGTTGTAGCAGAGCAGTAAAAATATAAAGTCGTAAATCTGTATTGCATATGTCGCAGCATGTTCGCCAGGACTGAATGAGGTCATGTCCAGTTGTTTTTGCAAAAACAGAAAACATGTATTTAAAGTCACGCCGAGCTGAAGAGCTGCAGCGATGAGCGGAAATTAAACACGAGGTCCCACAGAAACAAGTCAAACCTCAAACCAAACTCAGATGCACTTATAAATAATAAAAGCATCCGTCTTGCACGCGCATGACGCTCCGTGTGAGAGAGGAGTCCGGCGCGATTCAGACCGAGGCCAAGGATGCGGGAAACGTCAGGGAAAGTGCTGTCCTCTTGTGATGATGGGAAAGGAATGCTCTACATCTTGATGCCCTCCTGCTGGCTGAGCTGGGACAGCGTCTTCTTGATGCGCAGGGCTGTGAGACGGGCCGCTCCGCTGGCGTACCAGCACTCCCTCATGATCTTCGCCATCACACGCAGAGCCTGAACACACGACAGCACACGCAACTCATTACACATCACACACTGCTTCATGCATTCATCACGCACACGTTTCACTCTTTCATTCTTGTCCCAAACCCAGACTTTCAATCTTCAACTGTGAAAGTCCACCATAAAAATCGGAATCACATCTGTGTTTATCATAGTTATTATAGTTAACGCAAATTAAAAGCATGAAAAAAATAATAAAATACATTCACATTGTGAGATATAATGTTGCATCATGAGAAATAATGAGGTCGCAATTACAAAAAGTCATATTGTGAACTATAAAAATGAGCAATTACATGAAATAAGGGTATAATTATGAAAAAAGTCACATTGTAAGATATAGCCAAAATTATGAGAAATGGTCAAACTGTGAGATAATCATGAAAAATAGTCATTTCTTGTCAAATCAGTGTTTCGCTTCATGCCATCTGTTTATTGCGCTCTTGGCATTATGTGCACATCATCTCCTAACGACTCGATCAGAAAAGCTCGTCTTCAATAAAGTGAAGCTCGCAGGAGCGTTTTACTCCCGATACGAATCAAACACCGAGCAAAGAGCTAGAGCGCTTACACTCGGCACACTGTTCGCAGTGTATGAATGCAGAGATCGCAGCTCTATTACTGACACCCACATTCTGCTCTCAGGGTTAAAGACTCCACCGAATGCAAATCAGATCATTTCTGTTTCTGGAGAGACACACAAGCAGAGTTGAGTTCATTTAGCCGCTCGCCAAATACTGAAGCTCATCCGCAATACAGCCTTATATTTAGAGGTTATTAACAGATTAAAAGATCATGTTCCTTGAAGATATTTTGTAAATGTCCTACCGTAAATATCAAAACTTAATGTTTGATTAGTAATATGCATTGCTAAGAACTTCATTTGAACAACTTTAAAGATGATTTTCTCAATATTTAGATTTTTTTGCACCCTCAGATTCCAGATTTTCAAATAGTTGTATCTCAGCCAAATATTGTCCGATCCTAACATATTGTCCTATCCTATTTATTCAGCTTTCAGAAGATATATAAATCTCAATTTCACAAAATTGACCCCTATGACTGGTGTTGTGCTCCAGGGTCACAGATATCACTGCTACTGCGGCAGAATCACGTGCTACAGACGCAGACACAAAGACGGAGAGTAGCAGCGACACGTCTCTACTTCTCAGAGTGTTTGGCAGCGCTCATACGCTGGAGACGGATTAGATTTCACAGCGGATCTAATCGAATCCAGTCGTGTGACTTCGGCAGTAATAAAGAGGAGCGAGGGTGGATCTGTGAGGCCTGTGGTTTGTCTCAGCGGTCATTACCTCTCCGCAGTGATGCAATTACACCGCACGAGAGAGCAGAGCCGTGTGCACCAGTATGACATTAACTTCACTGATCTACAGGAGAAATCAAACCTGTTCTCTCCAGAACCAGACGACTTCACCAGAAGAACAAGTGCGCATACATACACTTTTTACTGTCGTCCATGGAAGAAGTCATTTTTCTTTTTATATGATTTATGATTTTTAAGCTTTAAATATTTAATCAATATTTTTTTATTTCAAGTTATTTAAATAAATCAGATTTTTTTTTTAATGTGAAGATTGTTTTGTTTTCTAATATCAATCAACTGCAGTTTGATTGATATTAGTAGGAACGCACAATAAAAAAAAAAACATGATTTCTGAAAATAAATAAAAATGGAGTTATCTGTTTTAGCAAATTAACTCCTTAATGTGAAGATTGTTTTGTTTTCTAATATCAATCAACTGCAGTTTGATTGATATTAGTAGGAACGCACAATAAAAAAAAAAAACATGATTTCTGAAAATAAATAAAAATGGAGTTATCTGTTTTAGCAAATTAACTCCTCTGTTTTAAGCGGAGTGTTCTCACCTCACAGCTCTGCCATCTGTTTGGGATGTTGGGCCGTAGTTTCTGTTCGCACACGACTCTCCTCATCTCCTCCACCGACGGGTCGGACTGCACCAGGTCATAGTACGGCAGCTGGTAGTCCTCGTGAATGCCTGCGCAAAAACATGCTTCAGTTAAAGCACGATGAGTCTAAAACTCAAAACAACAGATGATGCTGCTGATCAAAAGATCAGACAAACTTCACTAAAATACTTCACATACTTGAATGAAAGAAACCCTGGGGAAACATGACGCACATATTTAAAAACCAGTTATTAAAGTAGAGCTAGTTTCATATGAATAATACCTCCAATAGAACATCTGCTGGCAATTTCCCAGAAGACCAGCCCCATGGCATAGATGTCTGCCCTCTTGAAAGACTCAAAGTGCTTCATGTTTATTGAATCGTCAAGCACTTCTGGAGCCATATACCTGTTGAAGGACACAAGTGATTAGAGAGTTATTAGTTTTGATCACAATCCAGAGATGTATGCCCCCTATGATCCAAAAACAAGGTCCTTCTGAAGGTTGACTGTATTGTCATTCAGCATTACCAGAACTAAACGCAGTTTCAAGGGAAAACCAGATGGTTTACAGGCATGGAAATAAATCAGTATGTGGTTAAAACTGAATTTTAAAAAAGCACAGAGGCCTGAACTTGTGACATGTCAGTGTTTTGTATTCTGGTTGTATTTAAGGTACACTGCAGAAAATGTCTTAAACATGTAAATGATCTATACCAAAATAGTAGCTTTAGATCATCAATATTATGTATCTTTACTTCAAAAACAACTGCATACCAGTGTTACTTCAGTATCACTAAGAACATTTTTATTAGTATTTTGAACAAGTTTTTAATTTTACTTAAAACTTTACTACTTTTATAGTGTTTTTGTCATGTAATTACCTTTTTTTATATGATTACACACACACACACATATATATATATATATGTTAAATATAAATATTAAAATTTTAAATGATAAATGTTGCCTTGGCAACTAGCTGAAATATATACATATATATATATATAATTTATTTTTAATAAAAAAAAAAATTATAAATATAAGATAAAAGACATATATAAGATAATAACCCCGGTACATGCTCAAGTACACAAATTAAAAATATAAATCCATTAAATAAAAAATTATTATTTATTCTATTGAAATCTTTCAAAACTGTCATTAAAATGCTTTTATTATTTATTTGTGGAATATTTCGCTTGTTTTTTTTTTCTCTTTTCTTTCTTTCTTTCTTTATTAAATCACAAGCTTCCAAACAATCACCATCACAAACACAGAAGCAGGTCTAAGCAGTCGTCTCTGAGGCGAATGAGATGAGAATCACTGGAAGTTAAGGCATTAAAAGACTCATCTGCACACACACAAGTTCAGGAGATTAATCTGGATAAGTGGATCAATCCTGAAATGTCTGCATGCTCTGCCAAAACACTGAGAACAGGAGGACATCCAGATCTGAGCTGAAGCAGAGCGAGACTGAAGCACATCCAGCTCCTCAGAGCCGCAGGAAAACACAGGCCATGAACATGAGCAGAGGAGCTCAGAAAGCACCGAGGCTCGTCCAAACCCAGTTTCTGCAGGAGCACACGTCTGATGGAGCGCTTGAGAGACTAAAGCAATCAAAGCAGGGAGCGCTTTCTCTTTCTTGAACTGATTTATAGACACCTGCTCTAATCTAGTAATGCACTCCGCTATGGAGACTTTAGAAGCTGCATATTAAAACCAGGGATTCTGCAGGTTTTATGAAAGTGAATTTAAGACATTTCTGAGAGCAATTAAAGAAAACGTAAGGACACAAGACATGAATATGTTCTCTAATGTCTACAAAATGAGTTGCTTTAGCAACACTTCAAAGTTTGAAAATACAACTTCCAATTACTGGTGTTTTAGTATCACGGAGATGCTATTATAGTTTAGAATAATTTAGTTTTAATGTTTGCTTTTCACTTTAATTTAAAAATTTTGTTGTGCATGTTTGTCAGTTTTATTGTTTTTCTTATGTCTATATAGTTTCGATTCATTTTTATTTCAGTGCAAGTTGAAGTTTAATGGCTTCTCCAGTAAATCTATTTTAATTTAAGGATGTTTACATATTTGTATTAGAAAACAAAACAAAAATGTAGAGCAAGAAACTGCAGTGCATGCAGCATTTAACGCCCTAAATCTATGAACCGAACACTTTCTGGTCTGATTTAAGGCTGTTTTATGGCCTTAATTTGTGTCCAAATGAAGACATTTTAAGACCCAAAGAAATGTTAAGACTTGTAAATTCACATTTTGCAGATCGGCAAAAACATCTCCAGCAAAGAAAAAGTTAGCGCCATATAAATGGGTATTTTGTGTGGGCTAACATGACACAAATGCTACACTTTCTCTTTAACCGTCATTCCATCTTTGAACACAGACGTGAAAGTGCACGACCCAAACTTACATTATTATAATTCATGAACAAAAACATTTTGTAATATGATATTGATGTACCATTTCCATGGTAATGCAATGTCTGATTTTAAAATGGTTTTCAAAAGTTGAATTTTGAGATTTTAAGCTTTCAAATTGATATATAATTTCTGATGATTTCTAAATCTAGAGAAAAAGGCAACAAAGAAACACTTTTTGTGACAAAGGTCAGAACTCGTTTTTTGAGGTGCCCTCTTGTCATAAAACACTCTATTACTTTTCCTACATAATGTGTAACGCGTAAAACAGTGGTGAAATATCCAATCCTTACACCTTTTCCAATGATATAGATATAGTTTGTCACGATTAGATTAGAATTTATTTGAATTATAGTGAAGTAAACATTTCCCAGTAGCTGTTTCCGGCCACCTATTTTTACGTGCATTTTGGAATATCGCATATAAAAAACGCTGGATGGAAACGCCAAGATGAGCATAAATTCAAAAAATGAACCTTTGCACATTTGAGTAGGATAAACTTTTTAAACTACGATGGAAACACATTTACCGAATAAACTGGATGGAAACATAGCTACTGATATGAAACGCAGCAAACTCTCAGCAGGACTACTAAAGTGGAGATGGAGAGGAAGCTCGAACGCCAAGATGAGCATAAATTCAAAAAATGAACCTTTGCACATTTGAGTAGGATAAACTTTTTAAACTACGATGGAAACACATTTACCGAATAAACTGGATGGAAACATACTGATATGAAACGCAGCAAACTCTCAGCAGGACTACTAAAGTGGAGATGGAGAGGAAGCTCGACTGAATCTCGCGGCAGCTAAACTAGTCAGCAGCGCCGTGGAGCGAAGGCGTACCGTTTGGTGCCCACTCTGTGGTTGGGTGCGATGTCGATGGTGTCGGTGGCGGAGTCGTGGCGCACAGCTAAACCCAGGTCTGCGATGCAGCACGTGCCGTTCTTCTTCACCAGGATGTTCTTGGACTTCAGATCCCTGTGAGCGATAGCAGGCTTGCCTGGAACACACCACAGAGACCAGAGAGCGTTCACAGAACAAACCGCAGATAAAGCATCGCTCGATCTTCACACTCACGTCACTGAAAAACTCCTTCAAAACACAAACGAAAGCTGAGAGAGGTCTGCTCCTCCTGCACCAAGACTCCACACGAAGGCATCACAAAGGTAACGGTACGAGGCTTCATACGAGTTTATACCGTAGTCTGTCTGAATCCTCGATTCTGACCGGATTCTAATGCACAGGTAGTTCCAAGTCAGTTTCATCACCGTTGCACTGCTTTCATTATAAATGTCTTCACTGTCACTTTTGATCAATTGAATGCATCCTTGATTAATAAAAGCATCATTTGAATATTAAATGAATATGTCAAAATCATGTTATCACCATGGTATATGTTTAAAAAAGTGATGCACCATGATCTTAGCCTTTTTCAGACTCTTTGAACCTTTAGTGACACGTAAACACTCAATTCAATTGCATGGTATATACTGTAGTAAAAACATGGTAAAACAATGATCCTCTGTGCTAGCAGATGGTTTGTCTGCAGTGCAGCTGCATTGATTTCTGACACTGACAGCTGTTCAATTCAATTCAAGTTTATTTGTATAGCACTTTTCACGATGCAAATCGCTGCAAAGCAGCTTTACAGCAAATGAAAGATTCTACATTATATTTAGTAATAGCTCATCAGTGGTGACTATCTCAAGCTGATGTCCATTATAGCAAAGTTTGGTAGTTTTGTATGTTGTCTGAGGGTTTGCATCATCTCGGCTGAGATGCGGTTGCTAAGGTGCTCAGAGCATGTTGCTATGCACAGCTTCATCAGGTGGTTGCTAGGGCGTTGTGGATTGTTATTAGGTTATTTACAATCCAAATGTTACAGGATTGATTGTATAATTCGTTTCTTTAAAAAAAAAAAAAAATTGAAATTCAAGAAAGTAATTTTCAATAAATTTTTACACTCGAAATTAAGAAATTAATTAATTAATCAAGGACACATTAAACTGATCAAAAGTGACAGTATTTACAATGTAACAAGAAATGTATATTTCAAATAAATGCTGTTCTTTTGAACTTTCTATTAATCTGTGAATCCTGAAAAATAAAATGCATCACAGTTTCCACAAAAATATTGTGCAGCACAAGTGTGTTCAACATTGATAATAATCAGAAATGTTTCTCGAGCAGCAGATCAGCATATTATACTGATTTCTGAAGATCATGTGACACTGAAGACTGGAGGAATGATGCTGAAAATACAGCTGCGCATCACAGAAATACATTACAGTTTAACAGAGATTCACTTAGAAAACAGCTGTTTTAAATCATAATAATATTTCACCATTTTTACTGTATTTTTTATCAAATAAATGCATTGGTGAGCAGAAGAGACTTCTTTCGGAAATATTAAACATCTTACAAACCTCAAACTTAAATGATTAATTTTTTTTTCCACAAGTTGAAAATAAACCAGATTGCTTGGAAAAGTAATCACACTTTATGATTTTGATACTAATCATATCTGTAGCACAGACTGTGCTGAATTTCACTACTTATGTTCAGGGTTTAACAATAAGCAATAGTAATATAATGCATTACTTTCTCACATGTCTACAAATGAAAGCTTTATAATAACTTCAATACTACAACAGAGTGAGTCGATGTGCAGAGCTTGATTGTGACACTCTCTCAGAGTAATGAGGCTTTACGTCTCAATTATAGAAAAGTAATAAAGCTGCCGCAGCAGTAAATGAAGCTCGCTTTAACAACAAACAACTCTGCTGATGAGAATTACTCAAAACTCCACTCAACTCCACTCAAGACTAAATCAAGCCTAAATTATTCCGTTTTGGACATTAAGATGCAAACAGTGACTCAAAGTGATATTTTTATATTATCATATAAATAAATAAATGCCTCCACTGGTGGCTGAAAGAGCAGGGCCTGTAAAGCTGAAGCTTGATTTGGTTTCACTGGAACTAAAACACACGAGCTGAAAACATCCCACACAGACGCCAGGATTCTGCTTTCCTTATTATTACAACTGAAATATTATTACAGTGTAGCACAGCAGTGTTCTCTGTGAATATGTGTTAAACTGTACTGTATTCCTGTGATGCGCAGCTGTATTTTCAGCATCATTCCTCCAGTCTTCAGTGTCACATGATCTTCAGAAATCAGTATAATATGCTGATCTGCTGCTCGACAAACATTTCTGATTATTATCAATGTTGAACACAGTTGTGCTGCATAATATTTTTGTGGAAACTGTGATGCAAACTTTTGAGTACTTGTGTGCTTCATAATCCAAGGTACTTTTAAGAAAACTATGGCAGACGGGTCATTATATACAGAGAAACATCAAAGATGATGAAAAGGAAAAATATAGTTTAAAAAGATGTGATAAATTCTTGAAAACATCTTTAACCATCCAAATGCTTACATTCATGTTGTTTTGAATATGTTTTGAAAAACTTCTCAAAAATGTTCAAAAGACTGAACGGTTGAATTTAATGTTTTTAATTTTAATTTCAAGGTAAAATATTTTTTTTTTTATCTATATTTTTAAATCATGAATACCATTGAGTTTTGAATTAAACTTGGCATGTCATAAAAGTTAAAATTATGTGAGATTTTTCAGAATTTTAATTACTTTGATATACAGTCATGAAGGTCTACATGGCATCAATATTTGTTAAAAATAGTGCTGTCAAACGATTAAAAGTTTCTGTTTACATAGTATATGTGTGTGTACTGTGTATATTTATTATGTATATACAGTGGGTACGGAAAGTATTCAGACCCCCTTACATTTTTCACTCTTTGTTATATTGCAGCCATTTGCTAAAATCATTTAAGTTAATTTTTTTTCCTCATTAATGTACACACAGCACCCCATATTGACAGAAAAACACAGAATTAAAACACACTCACACAGCATATATTTTGAAAATATTTACATGTATATATTTACAGTGGGGCAAAAAAGTATTTAGTCAGCCACCAATTGTGCAAGTTCTCCCACTTAAAAAGATGAGAGAGGCCTGTAATTTTCATCATAGGTATACCTCAACTATGAGAGACAAAATGAGAAAAAAAATCCAGAAAATCACAATGTAGGATTTTTAAAGAATTTATTTGCAAATTATGGTGGAAAATAAGTATTTGGTCAATAACAAAATTTCATCTCAATACTTTGTTATATACCCTTTGTTGGCAATGACAGACGTCAAACGTTTTCTGTAAGTCTTCACAAGGTTGTCACACACTGTTGCTGGTATTTTGGCCCATTCCTCCATGCAGATCTACTCTAGAGCAGTAATGTTTTGGGGCTGCCGCTGGGCAACACGGATTTTCAACTCCCTCCAAAGATGTTCTATGGGGTTGAGATCTGGAGACTGGCTAGGCCACTCCAGGACCTTGAAATGCTTCTTACGAAGCCACTACTTCGTTGCCCGGGCGGTGTGTTTGGGATCATTGTCATGCTGAAAGACCCAGCCACATTTCATCTTCAATGCCCTTGCTGATGGAAGGAGGTTTTCACTCAAAATCTCACGATACATGGCCTTGCACAATTGGTGGCTGACTAAATACTTTTTTGCCCCACTGTATATTCATATAAATGATATCTTATATAAATATATTTAATATATAAATGTAAAATTTTTCTTAAATATATACTGTACATGCATGTGTGTGTATTTACAAATACATAATAAATATACACACATATAATGTAAACAAAAATGCGATTAATCGTTTGACAGCACTAGTTAAAAAAACTGCCTAATTTCAAGAAATAAAAAAAAAAGATTGTAATCAAACTACTTAAAGATTTCCTTTTCAATACTTTCAGCCTCTGATGATGAGATATTTTATCTTCTTAAAATCAGGCGATAGCACCTTTATAACAAAACAAAAAATCTAAATAATGTACATTTAGAAATGTAAAATATTACAGAAGAGCTGCCCTGTATGAACTGCATTCTCTGTGTATGATTATGAACAGATTCAGACCAAAAACAGGAGAGTTTACTGATGGTTTCCTAGCACTGGAAACAACAGCCAGATGAGTTTGAGACGCACAGACCTTGCGTTCCCACGATCTCCATGTGCAGGTGCGCCAGGCCGCTGGCTGTGGACAGAGACAGCTTGATCATGCCCTCCACCGTCACTGTGTAGCGGTTCAGATAGTCGAACAGAGAGCCGTGCTCGTGATAGTCCGACACCAGCCACAGCTGCGTCCACGTGCCGTTATCTGAGACGAGAACAAGTCAGGACACGCACAGACACTCCTTCTCTTCTAAAGACACAGCTGGCAAACCACACACACACATATTTACTGATTCATTCTGCTCCTGGCCATTACAGGTAAACCCACAGATGTGCAATCACGAAGGGATGAACAGATACGGACATTTTGGCTGATAGTTTATTCGATTTGAAAGCTGATAACCGATATATTGGCCGATAAATCTCAATCTTTAGATGAGTTGAGAATCTGAAACTGATGCATTTATTGAACATTCTTGTCATTTATTATTATTATTTAATGTCAATGTCATTTATTAGGCTAGTTTCGTTACAAATATGGTGATTATATCTACTGCCCCAATTCCAGAGAAGTTCAAAAGTACAAAGAAAAGATTTCCAAAGTTTTCACTGACCAACGTACATGTATTTTGTAAATATGAACACATTTGGATTTCGAAGGCTGCAACACACTCCAAAAAAGTTGGGAATCTTTTCTTTGTACTTTTGACAATTAAATAAAAGTTAAAGAGAACGAACAAATCACAGATTCTTGATTTTATTGCATTTTACAAAATGCCCCAACTTCTCTGGAATTGGGGTTGTATTATATTTTTAAAAATATGATATTAATTATATTATAAAATATATTTACTGTTACTATTAAGACGCTTTCAGAATATTCATTTTTTAATAAAAAATGTCAGTAACACTTTACTTAAAGCCTTTATGTATAATGCATTATAAAGTAGTTTTGATGCATTAATTATGCCTTGTAATGCACATTATAATGTATTGTACGATCTCATGAATAATTGTAACCAACTCATCCAGAGCTTCAGTAACATTACAGTGAGTTACTTTACACTAAAGCCCTTCAGGGACCCTTCAGAAACAGAAGCGCAGCCATTAGGAGCCGAACGCAGTGTGTTCTCTGTGAAGGAATGCTGGGAAGCCATAGAGGCAGCGGGGGGTCAGCGAGAGCCAATCAGAGCCCGGCTTACAGCAGATTCACCAATAGAAGCTCAGGACCCTGCTGCCACGGGACACTGAACGAACGGTCATAACGCTGATTAACTCTTTACAGCCACGAGTATATAAAGACCAACCTGTCTGTGTCATAAGTTATAGCCAATATTTGTTGTCATGACAACATAACCGTGGTAAAGCCAGTAAACACGGTAACTTTCACACTCTGTTTGCACAGGAATGAATACCTGACATGTTTGCAAGCGGTTTTAAATCTGCGGAGGAATTGTATTTTGTTGACAGAAAGAGTTATTTTAGTCTTTCAATTCCATTTCGTTTCCAATCCATATCTTTAAAGAGTTTCTTCTCTTACAAACAGCAAACTTTACAGTTTTATTCCTGTCTATATACCTAAAGTTTGATCATAATTCTTTCACACTGATTTATTTAACATTTCACAATGACTGTGTTCTGTCTGCTGACAGTATTTTCTGATTACGGAGTGATAAAAGGAGAAATCCAAAATCCCGCTGGAAAAACCTTTAACATATCAACAACATCTATCATGAATCTGGCTTTATCCAGAGTTATACAACTGTTCATTTAGTTTAAACTGATGTATTCAAAAATCTAAAACAAATGTGAATAATTAATAAAATAATGAACAACTCAAAATAACAAAAATGAATAAACTACATGTAGACCTATTTTTTTTAAAAACCTGACAAAAACACAACAAAATTCAAATGAAAACGGGAGAATATATAATAGAAACTACTTCAAAACATTAATAACTGTAACAGTATCTCAACGATACTAAAGTAACACTTTCTGAAATGTTTAATGCAATGTTTACGCAAATCATTGCACATTATTTAAATAATACATCATATTCAGATTTAAACAATATTTCTAAAAAAAAAAAATTGTAATGCAAAACATCTGTCCTAATGTGCTGTGATTACTGAGCTAGAGAAGTACGGCGGTCACTCGAAACGAGTTCAGCCTTAAATCAGATGAAAACATCTACACCTGCGGCATCTTCATTTAAGAAGTGTGATTTCTAGACCTGAAAAAGTCATATCAATTAATGAAGTCTTACAAATCTGTGGCTATTTGATCAAGAATATACATTTTTCTAGTTATTCCGAGCTTTAAAATACTTTATTGGAAAAGAGAAATATTTTGGAAGAGCATGGAAGAAAGAGGCCTTCTGTAAACGTGAAGCGTGACATTTGTGTGATCAGCACTGAGAAACGCTCATTACAGACACGCTTTCTGAAGCGCATTTCCTTTCTGAGGAGTTCAAATAGTCCGTCTTTTAAAAGCATGCAGTCACTGTCTGAAGAAACGGTTGTTCTATACATGTATATTAAGTTTTACTCAAATATGCTATATGTTCCTACATTTTATAGACAACAACGTTTTTCTTCAAATGTGACACATGAATGTATTTTCTTGGACTGAAATATATAGCACAACATTATTTTTTTGTTAATATTATTTCAAATGTATTGGTAGAAAATATATTAGTGCAAATATATTTTGAAACACATTAGCAAATATTTTTATTGGCCATTTTTTTTTTAATATTTTGAAATATATTAGGAAATATGTTTTTGCTGTATGGGAGAGAAATTAATGTTTGTTTCAAAGATGAATGAAAGTCTTACAGGTTTGGTACGACATGAAAAATTTCATTTTTGCATTCTTGTTTGAAAAATCCATAATAGCGTTTTTATGACAATCGAAAGAGGAAAAAAACAATAAGACTGACTGCTCAGAAGAGAGAAAAATCAGAAACACTAGTCAACTAGTTCTCGATCATTTAAAGCCAAGGGTAATATAACACAAAGTATAGTGTTATATATCTACTTTTAAGTTGGGGGGAAAAAAGAATCTCTTAGATTTATAATGTTAATAACTAAATATTTTTAAATATATTAGGAAATATGTTTTTGCTGTATGGGAGAGAAATTAATGTTTGTTTCAAAGATGAATAAAAGTCTTACAGGTTTGGTACGACATGAAAAATTTCATTTTTGCATTCTTGTTTGAAAAATCCATAATAGCGTTTTTATGACAATCGAAAGAGGAAAAAAACAATAAGACTGACTGCTCAGAAGAGAGAAAAATCAGAAACACTAGTCAACTAGTTCTCGATCATTTAAAGCCAAGGGTAATATAACACAAAGTATAGTGTTATATATCTACCTTTAAGTTGGGGGGAAAAAAGAATCTCTTAGATTTATAATGTTAATAACTGCATGCACTCCGTTCCCCTCAGAAACGCGTCGCATGATGCAGAAACACGTCACTCACGATTCAGCTGCACAAAGCGTGCAAACACTGATTCAGACACACGGCTCAATGCTACGAGCGGAAAACAGAGAGAAGAAAAGAGCCATGTCTTTGAGGAGGTTTCTCATGTTGCCTGAACATGTTTGAGCGTCTCCACCAGACACCAGACACAGACATCAAGACATCTGTGAGAGTGACCTTCATGTGTCTGTGCGGCAGTCTGATACGGCCTGATGTTACGTCTCTCATGCGCGGCTCGAGAGGGTACTACGAGTCTGTTCTTTAACATCTTGAAGACGTGCCAGTAAGATAAGTAGCACTTTGCCTTGGCAGCCAGTGTTTAATGATGTTGTGTGACCATGCTGGTGAAACACACACACACACACACACACACACACACACACACACACACAAAGAGAAGGAGATGCACAGACTACACAACAAAGAGAACAGCAGACATGCACACAAAGAGACAAAGAGCTCAGGAAGACAAACACATAATTATATGATGTGAAAAACATGTAAATAAAGCAAGAATAACAGGAAACTCCTGACGGTTTCTCGTCAGTCAGGCATGGGCGTAAAGACACGGTACCTGAGATCCACAGACTACACAACAAAGAGAACAGCAGACATGCACACAAAGAGCGCAGATGCTCAGGAAGACAAACACATAATTATATGATGTGAAAAACATGTAAATAAAGCAAGAATAACAGGAAACTCCTGACGGTTTCTCGTCAGTCAGGCATGGGCGTAAAGACACGGTACCTGAATTACTGTAAGAGAAAAATGACAACCTGCGCACATTAAAAGCTGTGATGTTCAGGGTAATTACGGTTAACTGAAACTAAAAACATAATAAATAAAAACATATGCATTACTTAAAATACATTTTAACTGAAATTAATCGCAAAAACAAAACAAAAAAACTTTTTCAGATTAGATTAATTTAACTTGATGTGCTAAAACAAACAAATTTGTTTTTAAAATTATATAGATATATTTAAAAACAACAAAAACTAAAACATATTACGAAAAAAAAAAAATTTAAATTACTGCAACTTTAAAAATAACATGAAAGCAGAAAATATCAAATAAAATCTAATTAAAAATATGATATGATATGATATAATACAATATAATATAATATTATATCAATGATACTACAACAGTGGTGTTGTTACTGTTAATGAAAACCATTTAGTTTGGTAAATATTAGATTAAAAAACTTAAACATTTTAACATGTTAACCGCCAAGGCAACATTCATAACCAAGTACTAAAACTAAAATTGATTAAGTGAAAGCTAAATATAAATAATTTTTAAAAACTACGAAAAATTATAAATGCAAATAAAATTACTAAAACTTAACAAAAAAATTAAAACCTAATTAAAAATATTAACAAATACTATAATAGCATATCGACATTGTTGACTCTTCTAATTTCAAGTACTAAACCTATAATTGAAAAAAAATTTAAAATAAGAAAAATGACAAAGGCAAAAAAAAAGTACTGAAAATTATTAATTTTTTTTTTAAATAAATTATTTATTAAAAAGGTACTAAAAGTTAAACAAAAAACATCAAAAGCATGTTAAAAAGATGAATAGGTAATATAGCAGTATATAAATGATGTGTAGTAGCATGTTTTCTGTGCGAGTTACCGGAGCCGGAGCCGGATGTGGTCATGTCGTAGATCAGGTCTTTGAGCGTGGTTCCCACCGTGATGAAGGGGTGGTCCATGGACCGGTCTTCCTCGTTAGGCACGCGGTGGTGGAGGACCGAGCGGCTGTGGCAGATGTAGAAGATGGGGACCATCAGGAAGCACACCACACACACGGGCCCCGCGATCAGGGCCGCGAACGCTACGGGCCCCAACGCCGGCGGCTTCTGTGTCGGCACTGAATCAGAGCAAAACATGAGAGAAAAACATGAGGAAAACATGAGAGAAACATGAGTGAAACATGAG